AAAAAAACAAAAAAAAAGAAAAAAGAAAAAAGAAAAAAAAAAAAAAAGAAAAAAAAAAAAAAAAAAAAAAAAAAAAAAAGAAACCACCACCATCGCTGCCACTGCCTGCACCGCACCACATCACAGTCAACGCCTGCACCACACCACAAAAACGTCACCACACAAATACCATTACACAAACCACCATCCAAAATTATCCCAACCGCTAAATCCACCATACAACGTTGCTTTTGCTTCGCAGGCTGGTTGCGGTGCTTCGCCTATGAAGAGTCGTCGGAGTAAGTGGGTAGATTTGCTTCGCGGTGGCAACTCGCGGTGATTCGTATAAACTCACCGCACTGCGTGGTAAAGATTGTCGCGGTGTTGCTTATGTGGTGGCGACGCACACGATGTCATCAATTGAAGTGAAATGTGTAAGGTCTCGGGCGACGACATAGCAAAGGGAAAGGAAGGGAGTTTGTGTGAGAGAGAATAAAATTAGGGTTGGAATTGAATTAAGGGGTAATATTTATTATATTCGTACTTGATTTTTGAATAATGAAATTTGGTCCTTTATTTTTTAATTCTAATATTTAAATAATTTTCACTAAACATTTTGTTAAAACTGAAGGCCCAAGAGATGGCCCAAGTTCATTAAAATACGCAAGGACAATTTGGTAAATAAAGCTGAAGCTTGCTCTAACATAACCACTAGGGTTTTTCTTCCCCATTCCACAAAATCCTAGCAGCGCCGGTTTCTTTGGATCTTTATCGCCTTTCTGGTAACCGGTGCAGCCTTCGTACGCAGCAGTCATTCACGCCGAAAGAGTGCTCATTTTTGTTTTTATTTGTATGTATCTGCAATTTGTGTGTTTGTTTAAATGTTTGTAGCTGGAAATAAATGTATCTTAGCAACGAGTTTTTAACAGTTCCAATAATTTGTTTCTCTCTTATTTGGCATGTGTTCAGTTGAATCTTTGAATTCCCATCTCACATTTCTTTGATCTTCTTAAGTCTTAATGTCTTTGCAATTTTTCGAAATTTTGTTGTGTAATGGGCGTTGATTGTAATTAGTGTTATGTGGTGTTACAAAATTGATTTCTTCTTGAATTTTAGGTTATAAAATTGGCTTTCATTTTGTCTATTAGGGTACTGAACAAATTGGCTGGTTTCAGAAATTAATTTTAGGTAATATAGAACCCAAAATGAGGATTTTTCTTGTTTCCTTTTCATTTTTTGGGTTTCTATTTTAAATTTGAATTAATGGACACAAGTGGCTTAATCTGATAGTTGATATTGTACTTTTTTTGCGAAGCGTGGCTGGTTTAGGAGCTCTTGGTTATGACTAAATTATTTGTCGTCTATGAATTCATGAATCTTAGTCGGTGATTCTTGAGGATTTTTTATTTGGCTAGAATAATTTGTTTACTGTAACGAAATATGCTGATGCAACGGTATCATTATTGAGAGTTGGATGCATAGAATAGTGTATAAATGTTGGTTATAGAAATTAATCAATTTGGCTGGTTTGATTTGGTCAAATTATGCTTTTTCCCATTTTCTTTTCATTTTTGGGTTTCTTCATTAATTTTGAATGAATAGACATAAGTTCTACAATCTGATTACTTGACATTTTGCATTTTTATTTTGTGATTGATGGCTGGTTTACGAGCTCTTGGTCAGACTCATTTACTTCTCATGTTATGAAAATATGAATTTTAGTATGTGATTCATGCTGATTTATTTGGCTAGAATAATTTATTTAACATATGAAAATATGCTGATGAGTTGTTTAAATATGATTGACAGCATAAGTTATAAGCAAAGATGGTGAGAGTTAGTGTGCTGAATGATGCGCTTAAGAGCATGTATAATGCTGAGAAACGAGGGAAGCGCCAGGTCATGATAAGACCTTCTTCCAAAGTTATTATCAAGTTTCTCCTGGTTATGCAAAAGCATGGTATTTACAGCATTATGAACTGTTAATACCCTGCATTGATTTGATGCATGATTCTGTGAGGTTTTATAATTGTTTTCAACTTTTAATGACAACATATAGGCTACATTGGGGAGTTTGAGTATGTTGATGATCACCGTTCTGGCAAGATTGTGGTCGAACTGAATGGAAGGCTGAACAAATGTGGTGTGATCAGCCCTCGATTTGATGTTGGCGTGAAGGAAATTGAGGGATGGACTGCAAGATTGCTTCCTTCTAGACAGGTAATTCTCAAAAAGCCCCCCTTTGAGTTAATACTCTTTTCGGAAGATGAAAACTTTAGTGATGCGTGATGTACTAAACTAAGCCCCTGTTTGAAAGTTTTTTGAGAGTATAAGTTATGAGTCCATGAAATGTATGGTTAGAAAGTGGTTAAAAGTTGTTGGTCCAATGAATGTGTGAAAATGAAGCTTGACCAGCTTCTAATATCTCGTGAATTGGTGCTTGTTTGGTCGTGCTTTTAAGTTTTTGTAAGCTTGTCAAACATAGTTTTAACCATTTTCTTTGGGACCCATAGCTTATAGGCACTTAAAAAATTTGCCAAACATGCACTTAGTATCTATAATGATTCGTACCCAAGTGATGGAGGTAATACAACTAAATGATGAGACAATCGTATCATATTTCCAGTTTTTCTTCCTTAACACATATGTATGTCTAATTGTAATGATAAACCTGCAGTTTGGATACATTGTGCTGACCACGTCTGCTGGTATCATGGACCATGAGGAGGCTAGGAGGAAGAATGTTGGTGGAAAAGTCCTTGGCTTCTTTTACTAGGCTTGTTTTGACTCAAGTTTGTTTCCGTCTCTGAGGAGGTTTTGGGTTTATTTTGAACTTGTTTACAGTTGGGATTGGCCCAAAGTTTGACAAATGGTTTGTTGTTTCAAATTCAAGTAGAGATTTTGGCAGCACTTTTTTAATGTTATCTTATTTTTGTCGACGTTTAAATCTGCTAAAGAGCATTCGCTTTTATTTCTGTACCAGTCTTGAAATATCTCTGTGCCCATCAAGTTAGAGGTTCTTGGATTGCCAGGACATAAGGGTTCGGTTTTTCTTTACACATCAAACATGAAAAAACATGATCCTATAATAGCTTAGAAATTGGGGATATGTTTGTTCATGTTCCTTTACCTCTTCTTCGAGTTGTGCTATAACAATGTCGTAACACGAAAATCTGAATCCCATTTTCTGTCTATAAAACTAGATTACTTTTATGGTATGTTTCATAGGAAGGATTAGATAACGTTGAACGTATCGCAGTAATTTGTAGTTTGTCGTGATATTTCTGGAAAAGCCTACACTCGAATCAGAGCAAAACTTGCTTAGGATGTGTTAAAAAACATTTGATTTATAAATAAATAGAAATAAGTGATGCATAATTGGGTAATCCTCGTAGATCTCACAAAATGTGTAGAAAAAAACTGATTAGAGGGGGATTATAAATAGTTTATAAACTAATTTATTCTTAAAAATATATTGAATTGAGGTGTCAGACTGATCGATGAAAATGACAGGTAAGAAGACAAGGCATGCTAGAATGCAATAAAAAAGCTTGATTGAGGCAGTGAGTCATTGTTGGGATAGTAGCTTCAATAAAGTTACTTGTATAAAGTTGGGTTACAAAGTGTGTTGATAAAATTCAGATCATTGATTTTAAATGATTTAAAAATATGTTTTTGAAATGATTGGTGTAGATATTATTTTGTCATCCAACTTTGTCAACTTCCTTTATAAGTGTAGCATACTCATAGCAGCCTTGCTACTTATGAGGTCCATTCTGTATCTTCTAACGCAAACGAAAAATCAAGAAACACACTAACAAGTCAAAAGAAAGCCAACAGAGACCCCCATTCATAAAATTACATTGACTACATTTATCTTCATGTGTTTTAAGCTTTATGAACATTTTTAGGAAACTCTCTATTTTTAAAGAGCATATTCTACAATTTAGAGATCAAAAAAGTTTAAGTGCTTCAACAGGCGATTTAAATTAAACATTTAATTTTACTACTTCCAAAAAATATTTATTATTTTTTCTTTTTTTTTTTATTTTCATTAGCTTACCTATAAATTACTATATCATTTTGTTTCATTGAAAATTGAAATATTTTAACTGCTTTAATAGAGAGTGGCTATTTAAAGACGTGTTTTTTGAAACACGCCTCTTGCTTATGTAAAGTTGAGATCTGGTCTTAGAATTGGCCATCTCCCAATCGTTAATTTTCAAAAACAACGTTCACTATAGTCCAAGTTTATTATTAATTTCCCTTTTCGACCTAATTTTAAACTTTGTTTTAATTGTACAAAGTCAATTTTGAAAAAAAAAATATGCTTAAATAATAATACAATCAAGAAGATTGATACTAAATCAATGAAACATAATTTTAGGCCTAGCTTGGTTTAGATAGAAATCATGTTTCTAATATATTTTGATAAAAATTGATGAAATGTAAGATTGAAAAGTTAATAAAAAATTTGAATTCTATAAAATGTGTGATTAAAAATGAGTTTAAAAAAAATAAAAAATAAAAAAGGAATTTTGAAAAATGAGGCCAAACGGGGCTAAAATAAGTGTATTTTATACCTTATTTCCTTTGCCTTTATTTTCAATGTAGGCCCAATAGAAGTGTAAAATTGCAATTGGACCCCAAACTTACCAAATTCAACAATTACTTCTAAGGCATAAATTGAATTTTTACATTTAAAATATTGACTTCGAGAACCTTAGGATACGAAATTTTTAAATTACTATTAAGTCCATGAACTTCTGCAAAATGCAAATAAAACATAAAATTCGAGTTGATACAAACTTGACGTCGTCATGTGCCAAAAATTTGAGTTTTTGTGAAGGTGAAAGTTACTATCAAACTAAGTTTGGTAGGGATATATTTATATGAGAAAATTTTATTCTTCAAAGACTGTATTCATTGTGCCGAGACACCTTGTGTTTTCACACATGAGAATAGGTTGGAAGAGTGGTGGTGATGGTGTCTAGATTGATTGCGAGCCCCTACGCATCGAACCCGCTGTAAATCTAACTATTTGATTCCATAATTTAGTATATTAAGTTAAGTTATCAACGATTTTGCACTAATTTCTTCTTGGTGGACCGAAAGTCTGAATTTCAATAGACAATGGAATATTTGTTTTTGATCGATTCGTCGTAGCAAATCAGCAATTTTCAAGAAATGCCTTACACACTACTCGTCTAGCAATCAAGCAGTGGAATTGCATTCGAAAGTCTAGGGATTTTCCCTATTAGATCATAGCTTATAATGACACTATTATATTACTAGAAGGGAAAAATTCATAACTAAAAGATTAAGTATCATTGATTTCAAAAATAAGAACAAAGGTTTTAAAATTCAAAAATCGGATATTTATTAAAATTTATTATGATTTAATTTGTTATTTATATATCTTATTAATTGAATAAATTAAGGTTACAGATCTATACAATTTGATCACATATTAATGACTTAGCCCTTGTTTGAGTATCATTCTTTTGATAAGAATGAATTTCTGAATAGTGTATTAATGGAAAATATGTGGTAAAAAAATAAGAAATTTTTTTTAATTTACATGAAATATTATTTTATTAAAGAATGTGTGGTTGAAATGATGTCAAAATACTATTTAAAAATGTATTATATGTCACAAATTATTTTATTGTCACAATTTAAAAATTATGTAAGTCACAATTTGTTCATCGATCACAAATAAAAAATTTATGAGTCACAAATTATTTATCGACCACAAATTAAAAATTTGATAAGTCATAACTTAAATTTTTAGGTTATATATTATCTAGTGGTCACAAATTATCGGTTACATGTTGTTTATTGGTTACAAAATATCCAATTTATTCGCCACAACCTCAAATAATTGGTCAAATATTATTTATTGGTCACAAATACCCACAACTACCTCACCCATTGCCCTCACTGCCACAACCATCGCCTCAACCTGCACCACCAAAATATGGAAGCTATCGTCGCCGACACCACCACCACCACCACTCCAACCAAAACCAACACCTCACCTCCATCAACTACCTGTACCACCACCACCACGAACACCACCAACCGTAAAAAACCACCTACAAATACTACAAACCACAAAACACCGCCATCTACGGGGCCTAGTGGACTCCCAATGTCACCACAAACACCGCCAATGGTACTGGAATTTGTATACCGCTCGTCGCTCCATCTCGTACAGCATCGGGATCTCTCAGCGCCGTTCTACATCTCGAAATCTCACAGACAACTCCATCATCGCTATGTAAATGGTGTCGAGCGGCGAGATTAACACAGCCATCAAAATTTATATACCCACAGATCGAAATCTTATGCCTCCACACCTCGCACTACCCTTAGATTAACGCACCTCGTCGCTGGCAGATTAATGCCACTTGCGCACTACACCTTGCACAGATTGAAGCCTCACGTTGAACCACCTCCCACAGTCGCTCCGGTGTGTGGTGAAGAGAGATGATGAGAGAATGGGAACGAGAATATGATTATGGTCAAGGGAGAGAGATTTAGGGTTTGGCTGTTTGGGTGTTCAAATCGGGGTATGGATGGATAGATTAATTGAATTTTATATTATTAAAAAATCTAAATTGAATTTTATATTATTAAAAAATATAAATTATTATCTGAATTTTGAACAAAAAACTTTTAAATCTGATTTTAGAAATGGGCATTTTAAAACTATGGATAGGTGTAATTTCCACTTACTAGAAATCAAGATTCTTATTTGGGGTATGGACTTCGCCCATATCTCCTGTGGGTTACAATACATATAAGAAGCCCCCACCGTGATTCACTATACAAGATGACAACATGTTTGATATGCAGTATTGGGCTGATCCGACATTACAAATGGAAATTATAATTATTTTTCTTCCTTAATGTTGTTGCGTATATTCCAACGTACTCAACAATTTACGAAAGTTTAGAAGTAGTTAGTAGTGACACTTGGATTGACCTTCACCAAGTTCTGGTAGTCCACATCATACGACTGCTGCTGTTCTTGTGTTTGCAGCTGCTGGACAGAATCTAAAACCCTAGATGAAGAAGCCACTATATCAATATTTCCAAATTCAGAAGAAATCCCTTGTGGGATAAATGATGAATAATCGGCACTCGTGTCTCCTTGGGGCTGCGGCTGATGGCCTCTAAGCTGCAATGCTGTAAGAAGCAAAGAATTCATTGAAAGATTGGAACTTAGCAGTGGCCAACAGCTGGTTAGTGATGGCTGAAGAGAGTTTGCTGCAGCATTTATCCAGTTCATGTTAGGATCCGGCCCCAGCCCGTTGAAGTTTTGTAGGGCAGCGATGTTGTTGGAGATGTTTGGTAATTCGATGTCCCCGAGCTCATTGATCATTCCATTTGTATCACAAGGAGATTCTTGGGATTGCGGTGATGCCGGTGTTTGCTGAGGTTTCTTCACCGTCGAACTCTTTAGGAAGACTCTGCATACCACCCATTCCTCCTGAGAATCAACACATATACATGTTCAAAATCCAGGATTATTCCTGTAATAGTTTGATTTTGTAATTACGACTGCACTTATATATTTATGTGCAAGTTTCTTGATCCCGTATCTCTTGTACTCGAGTCACGGATAAACTATAGTGAGACGGAGTGATTGAATCCCACTTCTTTCTAGTGGGTTTTTTTCCATCGTTTCACGCTTACAAAAGATTCTTTCATTTTATAATTTTTGAGTAATACTAACTGAGTGGCATTTAACACAAATGATCTAAATGGACCAAATGGGACATATATCCTTACAATTAATTGAACTTGTTATTTGATGTCACTTGTACGGTCACTTGAACTGGTTTATCTCATTTATAACATCTAATTAGTATCATTCTCTTTGTAATGTAGAGCACACATGAAATACAAAATTTGCAAGTTGAGGGGCTAGAAAATAGAACGAGAAAGAGGAAGAACTCAACCTCTTCCAACCAAGTTGCAACGTATAATACTGTTGTCTTGTCTAAATATACAAACGTGCATATTTACCTTTGTGGGGTTTACATACTATGGGGATCACCCCATATTTATAATCATCAATGCAAATTATACTTCTACCCATGCATAAAGCGATAAAGATTTATTAGATTATTTACCTTTGCGGGTTTGAAGGCAAGCTTGGTTTCTAGTCTATATTCATGCATAACCCAGTTGGTTTTTTCACCCTTGGGAGCTCTACCTCTGTAAAAAACTAGGGTTTTCTTCATTCCTACCAAGACTTCACCGCGATAAATCTCTCTGTCTTTGCCTGTTGTTTTCCAGTAACCTGCTTCTGTAGCTCTATTCGTCCTCAATCCAGTTGGGTACTTGCGGTCTCGCAAGCTGAAGAAATACCATTCTTTTTCGCCCATGGCGGCTTTGGCTGTGGTAAGATTTTACATAAAAATTAAGGTTATAGTTGTTGAAAAACTAAATTGAAATAAATAAAGTTATCCATACTCTAACAGTAAATTTTCAACAGTTTCAAAACTTGCTTTGTCACAGAGTTCAAGTGTCGCCGTGAGTCATTGATAATAAAATTTGTGCACAGATCCCATCTATGTTTAAAAATAAAGAATTTCTTTGCACGCGACAAAGAGCGTTGAAAACTTAATTTGAATAAACTATAAAGTTCATCTTCTCTTTCATAGCTCAAAGTTTCAAAAGATATGGTTCAACATTAATAATTTTAAAAATTGAAAAGAAAATCTATACATTTTATGGTTGTGGAATTTTATCCATTATTTTTAGCATCTAGTTTATTTTCCATGAATGTTTCGATGGTGTTTTTGATAACTCATTCAGTTCCAAGAACAAAAAACTGGAAAAAATTCAATTGTTCTTATAAATAAAAATAAATAAAAATCCTTTTTGACATTTGAACATTTTAAAAAACCAGAACATTTGTTCATCGTGTTGAACAAAAGTCCAACTTTTATCTACCAAAGAAAGAAAGATAAAAATTGACAGACTCTTGTAATACATATGGTAGACTTATTTTTGTTTATTCAGGATTCTTCTTTCATGTTTTTCTTCATTATAAATCAGAAAGACCTATGCCAAACTCCACACCTCATCGATGGAAGACTTTAACAAAAAAACTCAAAGAATTTTATTTTCGACGAAATTATGGGATCAAAACTACGAAATAATTATTGATATGCGATTAGTCAAACACAATTTAAACACATACCAGGGAGATCCCAAGGTTCACACTTATTAAGATCAACATCAGTAATAGCCCTAGAAGTGAAACCAAAATCTGAAACCTTATTATAAAGATAATAAGTGATGAGTTCTTCATCTGTGGGATGAAACCTGAATCCAGGAGGAAGATTTTCCTGCATTTTCAGCCTCTCTCGATCAACAAAACTCGACTCGTCCGAAAATATAATAAATTCTGTGAAAATGAAATGAAGTACGGATGCTAAAGGGTTTATTATAAACTGGTGCAGCATGCATGTGCTTCAAGAACAAGCCTCCATGGCTGCTCTTTTTCAATTCTGATAATTACAGCTAACACATTGACAAAGATAGCCATGAAGAAGAATTAGATTTGGATTACCAAGTTTGCCATTAGGGTTCTGAATATTTTGCAAGAAAAACTTGGGAAAATGACATTTTTGGAGGACAAAAGTGACAATTCATTCAGTAGAAATAGTATGTATGAATTTTCTTAAAGGCATAGTCCAACCACCTTCAACCATTTCTACCCACTAAAAATCTATATCAACCCAGCACTTTGTCTGATGGGAATATTGCTTATCACCGACGCACCCTTTCTTTTTCTAAACACGTGCTTGTTTGGTTACGCCTTTGTTTGATCTACATTATTTTAAAATTTATTTTTCTCCAAACTCATTTTCAATTACACGTTCTTTTAATAAAATAATTTTATATTAAATATAAAAAATTTTCATACTTTTTTACCACATATTCTTCAAAACAATCACTGTTACAAAATATATTCTTTCAAAAAAATAAGGCTCAAACGAGCCCTAAATTTATCAATGGGAAGCTAGTTTTTTCTTTTAATATCTTTTTCTTTGTCTGCATAATTTCTTCTCATCTATTAATATTCTAAGGACGTTTATTGATTTTCATATCATTCTTATAATTTCCAGTAATAATTTGGTGCACCACATTTTAATTTCAACGAAGGTCTCCATTTTTCTAATTGTTACATTTATGTTCTCAACTTTTATTAACTAGCACATCTTATTCTTAATGACAATTTTTATTCAGAAAATCTATTAGAATGACATAAAAAGATCGAATGATTCTTCAGTCTTTATTAAGGAAAAAATCTAACAAATACAGGAATTCGACTTTTATTTTAAAATACGCTAATAGAATATTTGAATAGAAATTTTTATCAAGAACGATATGTGCTAATTAATTGAAGGTTAAATATAATAATACTTTAAAAGAATTAAGAACATAAATTTGAAAACGAGAAAACATTATGGACATTCATTTTAATTGAAAATGTGGTTCACCAAACAAGTTTGTGGTGTGATTTCGATTACTCATTTTCTGGTTGCTTTAACGCTAACTACGGCAAAAACCCCTCCGCCGCCTCTCCCCGCCCCTGCCCTTGCCCTCTTGTTATTAAGAGGTAATATTTTGAATTGTCAAATATGTATTGAGAGACTAAATTCAGAACAGCAAGTCAGCTCATTTGTCGCCAAAATTCAAGATAATGACACTTTAATTAGTTTTACAGCACCCCGCTTAGTAGTTGTCAACTTGTCACTATATTTTTACATGGTGGTTATTTTGGTCATACAAATTGTCAATATTCAATTACTATATATTGCAAAGTGAACACGTTGAACATTATATGGAAGATTTTTTAGTTTTATGGGGAAAAACTCAATTTGGTGCAGTGTCGGTTTATACTTTTTAACAATTGCAATCATCAATATTAATTATATCTCTGTTTTTCTTTTTCTTTTTTTCTTTTTTTCTTTTGGGTTTTGGGGGGGTGGGGGTG